TCCCAGGGATAGTTCTGGGGACAAAAGTTGGTTCGCGCGGCTCGGGAGCAGGTCCGTAGACAGTGCGACGCGGGGTTGATGGTTCATTGCCCCAGTCGATGGTGTCCCAAGGGTCGTGGTGCGGCTGGATATCTGGTGGGGGTAACGCAGGTGCAGGACTGCGTGGGGGACGACCAAGGGGAACAATAGGAGGTTCGGCCTCTACATCTTCTCCCCCCCTTTGTTCTTCGCGGGAAGTTTCCCAATGTCCGCCGGAAGTTCCCCATCCGCTGCTTTCGCCGCGTGTTGCGGCACCCCAGCCGCCAGTGGTGCTTGTTCCCCATCCGCCAATGTTTCCCCACCCCCCTTCATTGGAGGCGCTTTCTTTCTCTTCAGCACCCCATGCAGCGCATGCAAATGTCCCGCGCGCCTCAGCAAGACTTTGTTGACGAAGCTCCTCTGCTTCGCGTCGCGCCAAATCTTCTTCTTCCGCCACCGTCAGTGTCTTCGTGGGGTCGCGCCAGTGTGGGTAGACCTTCAGAAACTCTTCTCGAGCGTATGGGCGCGCCACTCCTCATGCGGTGCCGCAGCGCTGACCGCGCAAGATGCCTTCGAGGCGCTGAGATGAGGGTCCTGCGTGGGAGTTGTGCTCGGTGCCGAAGATGTCGAGAAAATAGGCAAAAGAGGACTGAACTAGCAAGAATGGGGATACAAATAGCAAACCCTAGAAGGGTTGTACTCGCTACAGAGCACCCCACTACAGGCTAGAGCATAATATTCTGACACACCCCCATAGCCAAAGTGGGGTGTAATCAGCAGAGCAAGCAAAGTAGAACAAGCTCAGGGTGGATCACAATGTCACCACACATTCTGAGCACAAGTTCAAGAAGCAACAGTTTAAAGTTCACAATTATGAGCAAAGCTAGAGGCAGTCACAAAAGGGGCAAGTGAGGAGGAGGAGGGCTGGCGAGAGGAGAGAAGAGTGGAGGCGACGACTGAAGCTGCAGACACACGGGCAATAGACGGCTCTGGTGCAACGCTGGTGGCTACCGGGAGGAGAAAGGCCCCGGAATACAGGAGTAACAGGCTCTGCGTCTGATCAGCCAGCGACAGTAGCAACTGACCCACGGGCGACAGATGCAACCGGCTCTCTGAGCTACCGGGAGGAGAAAGGCCCCGGAATACAGGTGCTGCGGACGACACGACGGCAACCTCCGCTCAACCTCCTCCAACTGCCCCACACCCCTCAACACACACCCCCTGCTTCAAACCCTAGCTCCACTCCGACGGTACCCCCCTTAAACCCCAAACCCTAGGCTCCCACACACCACCCCCCTCAGCGGCAGCTGTAGCAGAGAGAGACGAGGGAGGAGGAGGAGCAGGGGGAGGAACTCACAACCGACACCCCCATAGCCGCCACCCCCACACTCTCCACCCCCAAACCCTAAAACGGGCGGAACGGGGGAAGGAGCGCGGGGGACGGCGAGGGGGACGGCGCGCGGCCCCCAGGACGCCACCACGGGGCAGCGAGGGGCCGCGCGCGGCTCCTTAGGGCGCCGCGACGTGAAATCGGGGGGGGGGGGGGGGGGGGGGGGGGGGGGGCCGCGGGCGACGGGATAGCGGGGTCGCGGGCGACGGGATCGGTGGGCCGCGGGCGACGGGATCGCAGGGCCGCGGGCGACGGGATCGGGGGGCCGCGGGCGACGGGATCGCGGGGCCGCGGGCGACGGGATCGGGGGGCCGCGGGCGACGGGATCGCGGGGCCGCGGGCGACGGGATCGGGGGGCCGCGGGCGTCCCCCACGGTAGGAAACCGCCGCGCGCCTCGGGGCGCACGGCGGGGAGAAACCCGCCGCACGCCCCGAGCGCGCGGCGGGATGAAAAATCCGTAAAAAAAATTCGCGGCAGGAAGGAGGCGTCGCGCGACCAGTAGAACAGCAGCGGAAGCATTTGGTGGTGGGCCCACCCACAGGATCGACCCAACAGGATCGTCCTGCTCTGATACCATGTCGAGAAAATAGGCAAAAGAGGACTGAACTAGCAAGAATGGGGATACAAATAGCAAACCCTAGAAGGGTTGTACTCGCTACAGAGCACCCCACTACAGGCTAGAGCATAATATTCTGACAGAAGACACGCTGAGTGATTACCTCCAGCTCCAACGTTGACATGCCTTCTTTTGGAGGCGCATGCCGCTCTGCTTCAGCGATGGCGGTGAGGCCACGGCCGGCAATCGCGCTACTTGAGGCAGTGGGCGTGTGGCAGTCCCTGCAGATGCCGTCTGGGTCGGAATCGTGCATCGCCAGCTCGCGTGGGAGAGGGTGATGCGCAGTCTTCCGTCAGGGTGTTTCCAAATACTGCAGTGGATGTGCTCAAATTCAGAACGAGATAGATTATTTCGGTGGAGCCGCCGCTGCAGTCGGGAATGTCGAAATCAAGAATATATACTCCGTTTTCGGAGTGTGCTCGTCTGATTTGCCTGCGTGGTGTGGTTGACGATGAGTAGTGCAGCAGGATGTCGCGCGTGTCGCGGTCCATGCTGAGTTCGACGCCGCAATCCATGAGTTGGGCGGCGGAAAGCAAGTTGAAGCGCAGATTCTGGACAATAAGCACATCGTTGAGAGTGATGTGCGTGCAGCTTCCCCGCGCCTTGAGCACGCCTTGAGCATGACGATTCCTTGCGCTCTTGTGCGCACGCGGGTAATATTGGCCACAGTTACATGTTGGGGTTGCGATAGCATTGGAGACGAAATGCTCGGAACCCACCATGTGCTGGCCGCAGCAGCTGTCCATGTACCAGGTGTTGTAGCGCTTTTGATCGTCACGTGCGAGCAGCGCCAGACGCGGCGTGACGATGTGAGGTGTGTCGAACTTCAGAAAGTGCTCGTGCGAAAGCCAATCGATTGGCGCCGCCCGCATATCAGGTACGTGCGGGGGACTTTCAAGCAGCGGGATTGGGAGGTTCCAATCTTGATTGTCGTCGTCGCTGAAGTCGTGGCGCGTGCTGAATGGGTTGTTGTTGGAGAACGCGCCGATTGGGTGAGGTGCTGGCTCAAGGATGGTGAGCGTACGCGGCGACGACGAGATGCGCCGGTCATGGTCATATTCCCCATGATGTTGCGCGCTGGGGCAGGCGGTGACGGCTGCTGCTGCTGATGCTGAACCGTTGAGTTTAGGTTGCGCGATGGGGTTGATACCCCTGGGCTTGACGCGTATCAATTCGTGCGTCTTGTCGGCCGGACCAGTTGCTCGGATTGGTCTGGCGAGGGCGAGATCGGGATTTGCATCGATCTGCCAAGTGCTCGAAGTTTCTGCAGATCTTACAGTAGAGGCGTCGCGTCCATCGCTCTTCAGCATTGTCGGCGTAGAAGGCGAGGTGTTCCTGGTCTCGTCGCGGCACTGGTCGCTGCTGATCCATGTCTCTCTGTTCGACGAGAAGGGCTGCGAAAGGGCGGAAGGAAGAACGCCATACGTCATTTGGGACTCGTTGTAGTATCTCCCATCGACGTAATGAAAAATCTACTCGTTTTGGAGCAGCAGCTCCAGCTCGAAGCTCCACGTATAGAAGTCTCTGCCATCAAAGTACACACTTGTCTTTATTTTTTATATGCTCAGAAACCTTGATTGCACAAAGAGAATTTGTTCTTCGCTGGGACGGGGAGTCTTGGGTGTTGAGCCATTTGTGTCGAGGGAGAAGGTGTGCGGGGCGGTATTCTGGCCGTTTGAAGCCGGTTAAGAAGGTTGGGAAGATGTTACCGCGTCGCCATTCCGCAATGTTTGGAGTCCTTGCTCCATATTCGTGATTCGCTGAAGCAGTTGTTCGAGAACCGTGGTACCGATTGTTGTCGTCGCCTCGTTAGTCGCAACTGGGTTGGTTTGCACTTTAGCCGTCAGATTTCGTCTGACCTCCGGATCCTCCGGCCATTCTTGCGCGTGAGCGTGTACCGGGCGCCACTTTAGTTGCGGTGGTGGCGTTGCAAATGATTTCCGAGTAGCTCTCATACCATGTTGCGATCATAAGTTGACCGAGCCTAGGATCACCTCGGGAAGGTTCGCACACAACTGATTGGTAGTTATGGGCCCTTGACCTCAAAACAAAGTGAATGTAAAATGCTTTGAGATAATTCAAACATGCAAACACAAGCTTATAAATAATAGTACAGGGGAATGAAACGACCTAGCTAGCCATGTACTCTAAGAGGTACATTCCCTTATTCAAATTCAAAACTAACTGTGCGCCCGAACAGTTACGAAACTGTTCCCGCCAATACCATCTATCCTGCAGCTGCTCGATGCCGTCTGCTCCGACGGTCCAGATCCATTCCAACTGCCTCCGACGCTTCGAGTCAACTCTGAGTCTTCGTGTTTCGTGCCTCGATACTGTGTGCCCCGCTTTGCTGCGGTTAGGAGTGTACAATCATGTTTTACTATTCGTAACAATTCGTTCTTCCGCACAACTTTGTGAACAGTTCATAACACTATCCATGACCAGCTGCATGAGAGAGGGGGGGAGAGCAGTGTGAGTTAGTGAGCGTGATTTCTTCCGATCGTCTCTGGTGGTAGCGGGGTTTTGAGTTAAAATATAGGGGGTATTTTCTAAAAAACTGCAGTGTCCAAAACCCTATACTTCTATCCTGGATGCTGTGTGTACTAGAGCTGCAAGACAATTTCTGCCATGCTCGTTCTGCTTCCAGCGTGTAGCACGTGAGAGCGAGGGCAAGCGAGCGCATGGCTTGCACGGCATCAGCGCCACCTCATCACGCCATCCGCATCCATCCGCACATTGATGAGCGCATCTGAATCTCAACGGACAGCGGACAGCCCTGCGATACGCGAACCTGCATCTCGCCTCCCCTCTGCACTTTTGGGGCTCTTGGGGAGACTTCGGTTGGGGCCCCACCCATCTCATGAACGCCACCGCCCTTCTCTCCCTTCCCTTTCCCTCCCTCGCCTCCTTCCCCTCCCCTCCCCTCCTGCCCACTTGCTCGCCCGCCATGGCCCCTCCCCTCCTCCCCTCACCGCATGAACAGTGCCGTTCACCAAACCCTAGCTGCTTTCCGGTCGTTAGTCGTTTCGTTGGGCCTGCTGCAGCCCAACTGCTCGGCTCACTGCTTTTTCCTAGTTCCCCTGCGTCCTCCTTCAGCGCAGTCAAACGCACCTCCCAGCTTGCACCACACCCATAGTTTGTAGGTGCACCACATCCTTAGCGGAGCTTCAGCAGGTCGAGTCAGCAATACAAGCTCTCCAGATTTCGCGACGTGAGTATCAAGTGGATGTCACTATGTTGTGCTATAGTTGCAAGCTGCCATCGCATGCTGTCGTCGCAAGCTGCCGTCACATGCGGTGTCGCACGATGCGGCGGTCGCATGGCCTGGCCAATGTACGACAATGGACCGTCGATGCGACCCAGCATCTTCTAGATCGTCATTCTGTCAGCCTTTGTGTTTCTCTTAAACTCTTTGAGTAAAGCTTCCGTCCCCCCTCCTTTCTCTATTTGACAACCTGGCAGTTATCGTGTATTTATTTTCGGACGTGATGTTGTTATAGCCTCTCGGTGTCGCGTCAACAACCATCCCTAGTGGTGAGACTCCTCTTATTACTAATCCGTCTGATGCTCGGCTCTATTTCGTGCCATCGCATAGCGTTCCTCGGCTTTCCTCCCTTCCCGCGTACTCTCTCTGTCTCATTTCCCCGCACCAAGCCTTTCGGCATGTAAATAAATTTGTGTCGCTCGTGCATGCGCACACAGCATATCGGGAAATTTTCCCAGCGTTTCTCATCCTCGCGCGACGCATCCCGTCGCTTCGTTTCCTCACCTCGCGCTCACAGCAATAACCGCCATTTCACGCCGCGCTGTTCCTCCCGTGTAAACTCCTCTTCCCTTCCGCCATCCCCGCATGCCTGCGTTTTCCCTCCCGCCATTCGCGCGTGCCCGCGTCTTCCCGCCATCCATTCCCGCGTGCCGCAGGTCATCGTCAGGCGAGACACCAGCGCAGCCTTCCTCCGCTCATCTCTCTCCCCTTCCCCCGATGGACGCCATATCCCGTCCGCCCGCCGCCCCCCTCTCCGCGCGCCGATGGGTGGTGGCGCACAAGAAGTGGGCTTCCCCGGCCGCCGCCCCCCCGCATGCTTCCTCGTCTTTCGCCTCCTCTCTCGCCGAATCCTTCCTTCCGTCGCGCGCGCCGTCCCACTCGTCGCACGTCCCGTCTCACCCGTCGCTCGTCTCGTCGCACCCGTCGCACGCTTCGCACCCGTCGCACGGCGGCAGCTGGGCCAACGGGAGCGTCGTGGATGGGAGCTGCGGGTATGAGGGGTCGCAGCGAGGGCGCGCGGACGAAGGTTGGTCGGGCGCGCGGAACAGCGGCGCGCGGCATGATGGGGATGCGGCGGTGCCGGGGGGAGCGCAAGCGGATGCCGGGTGGCGGAAGCGGAAAAGGTATTGCGCTTGTTAGCCGCCTTGTCGCTCTGCTTTCGTCGTGTGTGTCGCGAACTGCGCACAACGAAGATTGCTCGTCGTCACCCCATCAACGCCAGTTCTCCTTCCTCTCTTCTCACTACACTCTCGCCGTTTCCCTCCTCTCCTCCCGTTTCTTCGCCCATCCCGCCCCCCTTCCGTCCCATTTCTCTCCCTTTCCCTTCCCCTACCTCCTCGTCTCGTGTTCCCATCCCTCCCACTCACCTCTATCTCCCCCCGCCCCCTTAGCCCCTCATTTTCTCCCCCTCTGCCTCCCGTTCCCCCCCCTGCCTCCCCTTCCACCCCCCTGCCTCCCCTTCCCACCCCCTCTGCCCCCTCCCCCCCCCCCACCCTCTCTTCCCTGGCTCCCTTCCCCCACTGCTTCCCCTGCGAGCAGCCATCTATCCGCCACTGCCGACGACTCCGCCTGTCTGACGTCATCACATTGCCCTCACGCCCCCGCTTCCGCCCTGCCGCACGCGGCCGTCGCGCCGTCGCACGTGCACTCTCCTTTTGCGCATCCCGCCGCCTCCCCTCCCGCGCACGCCACCCGCTGGGACTTGCCCCTTTTCTCCGCCAAGCGCGCGTGCCTCGCGGCGGCACCGCACAGGCCTGCGGAAGGCGCGGCGTGGGCGGAGAGGCCAGGCGCGTGGGGGGAAGGGCCAGCGGCTTTCAAGCCGCAAGGTCGGGAAGCCGCCGCGGCGGCGGCGGCGGTCGCGGGGAAGGCGGAGGGCAGAGGCGGCGCGTGGCGGGCGCTGAGCGCGTCGTCAGTGGACTTCGCGCCGCAGCCCTTCCAGCCAATCACGGAGTCGGATTTGCTCCTGGAGGCGTCGGGCAGCGGAGCGCCGCTTGCGTTCGCCGTGGGCGCGGCGGCGGGCGCGCACGGCGACGGGCGAGGGGGGCTCCACCATCCCGCGTCCTCCTCGCGCAGCATCGGCGCGTCAATGGAGAGCGGCGCGCGCACGCGGCGGGTGGTATGCGCGCGGGGCAGGAAACGGGGGGGAGCGGGGGGGGATCCGGGGCAGCAGGTCGCAATGGCGCGGCGAGCGGGCGACGGCGGCGCGCTTATTGAGGCGGGCGGGTGGGCGGCGGCGCAAGGGGAAGCGGAGCAGAGCTCGTGCGCGTATGGAGGGGAAAGGGCCGATGCGGAGGACGGGGAGAGGGCGGAGGTGGAAGCGGAGCGGAGGGAAGGGGGAGGAGTCGGTGGAGAGAGCACCGAGCGACCGAGGAGGCGGAGGCGGAAGGTGGGGCTAGTGGGATTGGCGGAGGAGGGGGAGGCGGCGGAGGAGGAGCGGGATGGGCTGGCGTTGTCCGCGAGGCGGCCTCCCTCCGCGCATGCGCCCGTGCTCGCGGGATGCACGGCGGCAGGCACGGCGGGCGGCGGGCCAGCAGGGAGTGCGAGCGTGGATGACGGCCAGCGCGCATGCGGTGCCGCGAGAGCCGCCGCGTGTGCGCCGTCCCCCGCGGAGTGCGGCGCGCGTGAGGGGAGCAGCGGGGACAGCAGCGGGGGCAGCAGCGCCTGCGAGCGGGAGAGCACGGGGAGCGAGCAGCAAGAAACGCGCGGAGCAGGGCGGAGGCGGAGCGCGCGAGTGCTGCAAGAAACGGTGAACGGAGCGCGCGGCGAGGGGCTACGGGACGAGGACGGGGAGGCGCGCTGCTGCGCGGACGACCAGTGGGACACGCGGCAGAGGCAGCGGCAGCGACAGAGACCAAACGGAACAAGGGGGGGAGTGGCGGGAGGGGCGGGAGCAGAGGCGGACGAGGAGGCGGAGATGAGGCGGCGGTTCAGTGTGGTGGTGCAGTCGCAGGTGGCAGGCAGCGAGGAGGACGATGGGCCACTGGAGGGCGACGCCGATAGGAGCATGTCGGAGCACGTAGGGGCGGCCAAGTTTGTCCTGTCCTCTGGGCGAACGCTATCAGCAGGTGAGGGTCAGATTCTTGTTGCACTTGTTGAGAGCTTCACACCCTTCCCCCTCTCCTTGCCCAGCTCTCCCTCCGTTTGCTTTCACACCCAGTGCCCCCACCCCTCCCCCTCCCGACCCCCCTCCCTTTACGCCCCCCTTGCTCCCCCTTAATGCTCATTCCGTTTGCATGGCAGTTGTTTCTGTCTGTTTTTCCGTGCAGTGTTGCGTGCCATCAGTATTTCTTAGTGAAACATGCCATCTTGTAATGCTTTTTTCAATGAATCGACTTGTGCTCATGCCTGCCCCCCTTGCCCTCCTCGGCCTTACCCTTTCCCTCACCCTCGCCCTGACTTGTGTGCATCCCCTTCCTGTACCCGTGTTGCTCTGTGTGCTCTGTGCTGTTCTGTGTTCTCTGTGTGCTTTGTGTGCTCTGTGCTTCTCTCTTGTGGTGCTTTGCTCTGTTCTGTTCTGCTCTCTGTGCTGCCTTGTGCTGCTCTGTGCTGTGCTGTGTCAATCAGAGGGACTGCCAGCGCCCAAGAAGAAGCCCACTATAGACGATGAGTTTGAGCAGTACTTTGCGCAGCTGCTCTTGTAGCACACTTGCCCGCACGCCTGCACGCCACCTTCTCTTCTCTTCTTGCACCGCCAATGCAGTGTGTAGCTGCCGGTAGACCACGAGGTTGAGCACCACTGTGCGAGCTGCCCTTGTAACACATGTTCCTGGATGCTCGGGCCTGGAAGCCTGGACCTGGAAGCCCGGACCTGGAAGCCTGGACCTGGGTGCCCGGACTTCACGTTCTTGCGCCGCCAATGCAGTGCGTGCAGTGCAGCTGGTTTGTGTTTTTGTGTGTGGAGCGTGAGTGAGAGTAGGCATGTGTAATCCCAGGTAGATGGATAGACTGCTGCAAGGGGACCCTAACCAGCTTTGCACGTGCTGTGTTGGCTAACCCCACGGCACAGAGCTTGTGTGCATCGTGTGTGCAAGGTGCCACTATCCGGGTGGTATGGTCCCAATTCCATCTCATGTACATAGAGTTCTTGCATCTAATCGAATGAGCTCTCCTAGCTGAGATTATACCGTATCTCCGGAGGAAGCAGCAAATGTGCTCGACCGGGGGGAATCGATACGGTCACCGTACTGAAACCCCGCGTTTTGCATACGAAAGGTACACAACCAACCGTTTACGACCGCGCTCAAAAACGATCTGAGGCGATCGATTCTCCACTTTTACCGCGTCGTAACGTGTTGTTTCTAGTGTATTCTATCCTGATCTATATGTCCCTCGGAAACCACCATTACCGCACCCCAAATCTCTTCGGGAACAAGGCACACCCAGCCACCTCAACTGGTCCGACCCCACAGTGCACCCCAGGCGTCCACTGCTCATTATCATCATACCAACCATTCTTTCCCCATGCCCGCTCCTCCAGCAGCCGTTCCCCTCCGTTCCGCCAAAGCCTGCTGTGCGCTGCGCAGTCCCCCTTGCGCTTTCTCGCGCAAAGCGCGCCAGTGCGCTTCCGCCGCTCTGCGCGTTTCGCAGACGGCTTCGCGCGCAGCGCCGATCGCACGCGCCGCCTGCAGCTGCAGCAGGGACGAGTCACACGAGTCAGTGAGTTGACCTGTTGCAATAGCGAGGCCTTACAACTATAGCGAGACAACTATAACGAGCCCGTGCTACTATTGCGAAACCCTACAGCTAAAACAATGCCGGTAGTGGTGTGTTTCAGCTGGGGACCCATGAGCCGTGCCACCACCAGCACCGCCACGCCAGCTGCCGCCGCTCCCGCCTCGAGCAGCGCCGCGCGCCACGGTTTCACCCCATTGTCGCCCGCATCCATCACATCGCCGCCCCTCGCGCTGCTCCGCGTGCCCGCCTCTGGCTTGCCTCTCGTGCTGCCCCGCTTGCCCCTCTCTCGCCCTCCCAAGCCCAGGACTCGCGGTTTATCATCAAGCAGCAGTGTGACAAGCAATTAAGCGTGCCGGGTGCTACCCTGTGCAGCGCGGAGGGGAAAAACAGATGGCTTTGAGTGGCCAGTTGACGACTGGCAGGCGCATGGGCGGCACGGTTGGCGGCATCGTTGCCGGGCTGGTGCACGCGGAGCGATGAGGCTTGAAGGATGATGGTTCGGTTCCGTTCGGTAGAGGTTGGGGAGATGGGCGACATGCAGGGGTGGAGGCTCGCGCGTTGATGCCCCCCAAAACAGTCTTCCTCGTTGCAACTTTCCAGGTACGTTCGAGCAAATATAGTCGATCATTTTATTTTGAAGGAGCAAGGCAATGAAACCAATGAATGAAAAAACATGATACATTACAACAACAATTGATTACCATTGTTATCAGCAATCCTACTCTAGCGCCACTACTTGGGTTTCGACCAATTCGTTGACTAAAATGTGTGGAAGGGAGAGGTACGACCCCTCCAGCAACCGATCCCCCTGCACCTGAGGGTTCGCCCTGCGCAGCGCCTCCAGAGGGACCTGCCAGGGCAGCAGAGAGAAGGTAAGGCAATTTGACTACCAATGCTCAGTCAAAAGACCATCACAACAGGTGAGTGCAGCAGGCGTACAGGAAGGAGCAAAGGAAGAGAGCTTTGTAGTGAAGTGATACTGCTCGCGCGCATCCCCCATCCATTAGCCTCCCCTCCCTTGCCCCCCCTTGTCCCATCGCCTCCCCTCATCTCCTTGCCCCTCATCATACCCACGCCTCCCCTCAACCCCCTCGCCTCTCGTGACACTCATCACCTGGCATCGCTGGGAGATGCGCCACAGGCTGTCCCCTGCCTGCACTAGCACCCGTGCATCTTCATCCACCACCAGCGCCTCCACTTGCTCTCTCACCAACCCCCTCGCACCACTCTGCACCGCACTCCCCACCGCCGCGCTACGTGCCACCGCCTGCCGCCCCGCCTCGGCCACCTCCTGGACGGCGTCTGCCATGCCCTGCACCGCCCCTGCCACCTCCTGCACCATCTCAGCGCCCACCGTGCTGGCGCCTGCTGCTGCCTCCTCCACTGCTCCCCCCACCGTGGCTACCGCCTGGCTGACCGATGAGTGCGCTTTCCCCACCGCGCGCATCACTCTCACCTGCGCCACCATATCGAAAAGACATGGCACTGAGACATGAGACTGGTGGTTTGTAGTCTGATATGGTTGGTTTTGTTTTCTTTGATTCAATTTTTTTTTCCAATTTCCCGCTAATTCAGGGCTTAATTGATTGACCCACCGTGTCCTTGATCCCGACGGCAGTGAGCCTGGCAGCTTGCAGCACCTGCTGCTCCTCCGCCCTGTGCTTCAGCTGTCGTGCCACCATGGCTCCCACTCCCACCACCCCGGCCAGACACACACCGCGCCACACCCCCTTGGGCACGCCCCACAGACCCTCTCCACGCGCAGAACTCCCATCGTCAGGCCCACCTTCGCCGCTTGTCGCCATGGCTGTCTGCTAGGCCCTCTGGCTCATTGATGCATGCTTGTCTGAGTGGAACGAAAGTGAATCATACGAGATAGACCTAGCAGATTTCACATAAGAAATTCTTTGGTTCGGCTGGGCATTCCCTGTTTTCTCCGCGGTTTTGTTCGGCGATCTGCGCTGGAGAGAGGTTTTAGTTGGGAACCGATATGTACCGTGTAGAAAGCTTTTGGACCTCATTCAACGATCAGCAGACGATTCGCAGGTCAGCTCAGCTGGTGTAACTCGCCCTTTGACGAAAAGCGATTCTTCGCCGTACTTTTGTTCGGTTTGTTCAACACCTCCATTGAACAGCACAGCTGGAGTTCGCTTCCCTTTCGTCCGCCACGTGACGTCATTCCCATGTGGCTCCGTCCACTCTCCTTCCCGTTGTTCCCCAACCTCGCCACGCTGGAGACGAATTGACACTTTCCCGCGTCGCGTCACAGCCAACGGAGATTTCGAGGGAAACATTTTCCAATCAAGCGAACGCGCCTCGATTCTCCACTTGCCCGCAATTTCTCGCCTCTCCTTGCTGGCTCATTCGTCCCTCGTTCTTGGCGATTCCCTGTCTTTCCATTCCCTCGTCAGTCACGCTCACGCTACTTCGTTCCGTGCTTTGTTTCTGTAGATTTTTAGAAACGGGCGCCGTGTCATAGCAGCAGAACAACTCGTTCTCGTTCCGTAATGTCATCGAGTCATTATGGCTAGCATTCGGCTTATACATTCGCGTCAAGTGGGAGTGCCAGTCGCTCTCAGCGAGCTGGGTTTGCCAGTCAGCAATTGCCGTTCTGCAGCGAGGCATAGGAGTGACTCCTCGTTAACTTCGTCTCTCTTTCCATGCGATCGCTTCCTTTCCCATTTAGACTCTGGAAACGCGGCACGCAGCCGCCGCTATCAGATAGCACACGCTTCCGCCACCCCATGGCGCACAAGGGGCATTCCCGCAGCCCCTTACGCGCCTACCCGCGTTCCGCTGCTTCCGCTTCCATTCCCCGCTCCGCCCGCGCCTGTCGTTCCTACTCGTTCTCTTCACGTCGCCTGTCTTGCGCGCATGTCTGCGACAGGGCGGCGTCGCATTAGCGTTGTCGGAATGGCTTTGCCGCCTGCCGCGAGGGGTTCGCCTGCCGCGTCGCCTGCTAATTTGCCTGCTGTAAGCGTGGCGACGAGTGCGACAGAGACGAAGACGCCGACGACGATGGACGGTCAAGGCCGTTCCAAGCCGGACCGCGAGGATTCATCTAAGCAGCTTCAGGAGCCCGGCCAGTTATTGGACACCACATCATCATCTGAGCTGGCCGGTGCGGCGGTGGACGCCACGTCAGCACGAAGAGGCCAGCTGGACGTGTCGCGACACAATCTGCCCCTCAGCAGCATCGTCAACCAGGTAACGGGATCACCGTGGCCGTGTCGGGATGATAGCGGGCAGTCGCGATGATGTGAAACGATGTGAGAGGTTGAGAGGTTGAGAGGGTGAGAGGATGAGAGGTCGAGATGTGTAACCTCTACTCATTCCTTTCTTCCTCCCTCACTCCTACTATAGCGCCAACAATCTGCGTGACTGTCCCGCAACACCCCCCCCTCTCGCCCGCCCCTTCCCTCCCCAACATCCCTCCTCGCCTGGCCCCTCACAGCAGCGGAGCAGGCGCTACCAGCGGAGAGTCCTGACATGGGCGGAGCAGCGTGCCTGGGTGGGTGCTGTGGTGGCCGTGCCACGGCCAAGACGCCCCTTCGCCCTTCCGCCCTGCTCCCCCTCGCCCTCTCCCCCTCCTCCCTTTCCAACTTCCCCCTTGCGGGATCGCATTAAAGCTCGCATCTCATATTTCCTACCGTTTAACACTTGGTTGGGTTTGCCCGTCTGTGATTGGGTAACGGAAGACGAAATATTTGACGAGTGTGTGAAAAAAAGCACAGCGAACTCCCAGCAGTCGACGCCAAAACAAACCAGGGTGGTTTGGTTTGGGTGGAAAACGAGCCAAGGGGGACAGGTATGGTCCCGGGTTCTGTCAACGTTGAGTTCAGTGTCTCATATTTTCGAGAGTTGTAAACGCTTGGTGTGCACGGGGAAGTGTGCGACAGCCAACGTTACCAAACCACCCCTTGCTTTGGTGTGATTTGCGACAAACTTTGGTGTTACCGGATTCCAACCGTTTAACACTTGGTTGGATGGCAGAAATATGAGACGCGAGCTTTAAAGGCGGCGCTGCTGCAAGCCGCGCGGGCCCTCTCTTTTCCTCCTTCCCTTCCCCCCTGCCTGTTGGTGGGGCACTGGGATCGTCTCTAGTTGAGTGTGGGAGGGCTACAGGCGCGGCCTGGGGGTTTATGGGTGTGCTACCCACCATACAAACATGCCCTTTTAACCCAGTCGGTAGCAGGCTGGGCCAACACTGCCCTCGTTCCTCTCCTCCCTTTTTCCTCATTCCCCTCCCACACCAGGTGGCGGTGAAGGAGGCGCTGGTAGCAGCAGCAGTGGATCCGGGGCTGGGAGGGGTGGCGCTGGTGGGGACCGTCTCAACTGCTTCCCCGTCTCCCGCTTCCCCCCATCGCACCCCTCTTCTTCATCCCCGCCCCACCCCCCTTGGCCTCCCCTGTCCCACCAGGCAGCGGTGAAGGAGGCGTTGCTGGCAGCAGCGGTGGACCCGGGGCTGGGGAGTGGCGCGGGCGTGGATGCTTCACTCCCATCCCGCTCTCCCTCTTCCCCTCAAACCCCTCCCGCCCCTCTCCTCCCCCACTTCTTCAGGCGGCGGTGAAGGAGGCGCTGCTGGCAGCAGCGGTGGATCCGGGGCTGGGAGGGGTGGCGCTGGTGGGGGGGCACGGCACGGGTAAGACCGTCATGGCGCGCGCGCTGCCCCTCCTGCTGCCGCCCATCGCCGTGGTGGACGGCAGCTGGGCCAATGCCGACCCGCGCACGCCTGAAGAGTGAGTGCGGGGGGGAAAGGGGAAGGGACGGGGAGCGGGCGCCTGGGGAGGGGTAGGGGGAGGAGAGAAATGGGGTGTGCTGTTTGCTGCAGGGCTGTTATGGATGCAGGCAGCAGTGGTGATGCGGCGTTGGTGCTGCTGGGATTGACGCTTGTGCAGACGTCTGCTGGATGAGTGAGAGGGGGGGATGCGGGAGAGGATAGGAAAGGCGAGGGAGAGGGAGTGAGTGTGTGCGTGTGGGGATGGATATGTGGAGGAGCAATTATGTGCAATTGGGGGGTGCGGCAATGCGGCCATGGCATGGGTGGGGCCATCCCCATTGCAAAGGGAAGGGACCGGGTTGAGGAGGGATGATGTGAGCACTTGATGTGCTTCACATCAGTTTGCTTTTGTCGGGTAAATGTGTTCCTGACATTGCATGTGTGTGTGCCTGCCCATGTGCATGAGTGCATGAGAGCAGGTGGGAGGAGGGGCTAAGGGAGAGCATAGAGCAGCGCGGGTGCGACGTGCACCATCCACCCGTCACCCTCTGCAACCCGCCCTTCGTGCAGGTGGGTGCCATGCCATGCCATGCCATGCCATGCCATGCCCTGCCCATGCCGTGCCATGCCATGACTCATCCCACCACACCACACCATGCCATTTGATCCCATTCTTTCCATGCATTGCCATGCCACGCCATCCCATGCCGTGGGTGATGCATGTCTGTCTGCCACTATGTCTATACATTCTCTGCACAACTGCTTACCTCACATCCGCCCGCACCCCCTCACACCCACTCGCACCCCCTTGCACCCCTCTTGCACCCCTTTGCACGCCCCACCGCAGGTGCCGCAAGGAGTGACAGAGGACCGCCTGCTGTGGTCGGTGGACGTGGAGGGCCATTGCCTCACATCCTCTGTACCGTTCTGCACCCCTCCGCCTGTCCCTGCACCCCTGACACGCGTGTAGCTGCCCCTGGGAGTGACGGAGGACCGGCTGCTGGGGTCGGTGGACGTGGAGGCGTCCATCCATGCGGGCCGCAACATCTTCCTGCCGGGGCTGCTCGCGCGTGAGTCACGAGTTGCAGGGGTGAGGGGGTGAGGGAGTGGGGTTTGAGGGAGTGAGGGGGTGAGGGAATGAGGGGGTGAGGGAGTGAGGGGGTGAGGGAGTGAGGGGGTGAGGGGCTGCCTCCCGCTTGAGTGCTCTGGGGTTGGGAGGTTTCTGGTGTGCGATTGAAGGGGTTCAACACAGTTGTGGCACACAGACAGTAGCATGCCTGCCCGGTTGTTGCAATTGCACCACTGTCACTTGCGCTGCCACTGCCTCCTCACTCACCTCTCACACCACGCTTGCCTCCGCAGCTTCACCACATCTCCCATGGCGCCCAAGGCACGCCATGCCCATCCGTTGATGCAGCGCGATGGTATCCCCGAGAGCGCCATCAAGGAAGGCAGTGTGGTGGGCGACGCGTTGGGAATGATGGGGGAGTTGGGAATGATGGGGGAGTTGTGAATGATGGGGGAGTTGTGAATGATGGGGGAGTTGGGACTTTGATGTTGTCTTTACTGCCCACTCCACTCCACTCCACTCCACTCCACTCCACTCCACTCCACTCCACTCCGCTCATCCCCCACAAAGGCCGCATTGTAACCTGTTCCCTGCATTGTAACCTGTTCCCTGCATTGTAACCTGTTCCCTGCATTGTAACCTGTTCCCTGCATTGTAACCTGTTCCCTGCATTGTAACCTGTTCCCTGCATTGTAACCTGTTCCCTGCATTGTAACCTGTTCCCTGCATTGTAACCTGTTCCCTGCATTGTAACCTGTTCCCTGCATTGCATTGTAACCTGTTCCCTGCATTGTAACCTGTTCCCTGCATTGTAACCTGTTCCCTGCATTGTAACCTGTTCCCTGCATTGCAACCTGTTCCCTGCATTGCCCAACCCCCCCATCTGCCAAACCCCACCTGCATGCCACATTCCCTCCCCCATGATCCCAATCCTTCCCCTCCTCCCCCCCATGCCATGCCCCCGGAGTACCATCGCGGGGTGCTTGATGTGGTGGCGACCACACCAACCTGCCACACGGCGCCTTCGCACTCATTGCCGCTTTCCCCCACCACTTTCCCTTCATGCCCGTACAGCCCCCATCCCGCTCATGCTGCCCCATCACCCCCCTCATGCCACGCTCTCCCCTAGAGTGCCACCGCAGTGTGCTCTACATCGACTACCCCACCGCACCCCACCGCAACCCACCGCGCCCCACCGCACCCCACCGCACCCCATGCAGCGTGCTCTAAATCGACTACTCCAACCTGCTGGACGACGCGCTGGGCTCTTCCTCCCATTCCCCGCACATTCAACCCCACCGCACCCCATGGCGTCCCATTCCCCACCTATACCCCTCCATCCCCCAGAGAGCCATCGTGGCGTGCTGTACATCGACGACGCCAACCTGCTGGACGACGCCCTGGCGGCGCTGCTCTTCGCCGCGCTCGCAGAGGGGTGCAGTGTGGTGGAGCGCGAGGGGCTCTCCGTGCGCCATGCGTGCCGGCCGCTGCTGCTGGCGTCGTTCAACCCGCAGGAGGGCGCTCTGCGACGCCACCTGCTGGACCGCATAGCGCTCATCGTCAGGTGCGCTGGGCAGTTGTGGGGAAGGGGGCGGAAACGGGGAGTGGGGCAATGCTGTGCTGAGGGCGCCGTTCAAGTCAAGCCGCAGGGGGGCGGTCTTAGGCGGCACCTTCTGGAGCGGATTGCTCTCATCATCATGTGCGGTGGTGGGGGTGGTGGGGGTGGTGGGGATGGTGGGGGTGGTGGGGCAACTGGTGAAGTGCGCTGCAGTGATGGTTAGGTGCGGGTGTGTGGCGCCGCAGTGATGGTTAGGTGCGGGTGTGTGGCGCCGCAGTGATGGTTAGGTGCGGGTGTGTGGCGCCGCAGTGATGGTTAGGTGCGGGTGTGTGGCGCCGCAGTGATGGTTAGGTGCGGGTGTGTGGCGCCGCAGTGATGGTTAGGTGCGGGTGTGTGGCGCCGCAGTGGGGGTTGACGGCGCTGCTGGGGTGTCACGTTGCTCACCCCGCAGCAAGGGGAAGGGGAAGGGGCAGTCATACGCCGCCTTCTCCACCAGTTCAATCACACGCTCATCGCCATGTGCCATGGCAGCACCAAGCGGTGGGGGGGAGGGATGAAGGGAGACGGTGTGGGGGAGAGGGGGGGGAAACGTGGTAAAGCGCATTCACGTTTCGCCAAGTGGGGGGGAGGGGGGATGGGCTTGGGAGGCGCTGCTGCTGGCCTTGTTCTCCCCGCAGGAGGGGACAGCGGGAGGCCAGCGCAGCTCATTGCCATGAGGGGGTGGGGGGATGAGGGCGGTAGGGGGGTGGAGGGTTCAAGGAGGGTAGGGGAGTTAAGGGGGTTGGGGAAGGTGGAGGGGAGGGGGCTGGAGGTGTAGTTGGGGTAGGGCGAGGGCGTATGCAGAAATGAGAGGTGCGCTCTCCATGCTGGCGCTCATTGTCACGTGTGGAGGGTCGGGGGAGGTTAGGAGGGGGCGAGGTGCTGCCAGGGGGCGAGGTGCTGCCAGGGGGCGAGGTGCAGCCAGGGGGCGAGGTGCAGCCAAAGGTGCACTGAGGGAGGGCGAGGTGCACTGAGGGAGGGCGAGGTGCACTGAGGGAGGGTTGGGATTACGGGGTAGCTGGTGGAGCGCATTGTGCTGTCGCCAGGTGGGAAGGGGGGGTGAGGGGAAGGAACGAGGGGAGAGTTTCAAGTTTGGGGGACGAGCGTTGGGATGGATGGGGCTTGAACTTGCAGGCAATTCTGCGGGCGTGGTCGAGTGCGGGCGAAGGCAGGGTGGGCCGCCATTGGGCAAAAGCAAGCTCGCAGTTGTTGCTATGAGGAACGAGAAGAGGACAGGCGCTATGTGGGTGGGTGGCGTGGGGTGCGATGGGGTGAGACAAATTGTTAGGATGCGATGACAGCATGCGAGGCGAGGAGGGCACGCTGTGAGGCAGAGTGTGTTGTTGATCCTCTTACATCACATGGAAGGCGAATGCATGGCATGTGTGACGTCATCTGCTTGCATGCCTCTTCACCACGTGTCTGTCTGTCCCTGCATGTGCCTGACAAGTCAGCACGGATGCCCCTCTTTCATTGGAGCAGCGGGTGGCAGCAGCTGACGTGGCAAACGCCTTCTTGGATGGCAGACTGACGGCTGGAGGAGGGGCGAGCGGAAATTCAGAATCTGAGGGGCAGACGTCCTTTGGAGAGGGAGGGGAGAAGGGTGAGGAGGAGAGTGTGGAGGAGGGGGTGGAAGCGGATAGGCTGCGAGTGCTGTTTGCACGACAGCTGCTGCCACGTGTCACCATCTCACAGGCCCAGATTTCATTCCTGGTGGACGCTGCTGTGCAGCTGGAGTGCGAGGTGAGATGTGGTGAGATGCATCCAGGTAAGGTGCAGTGCGGTGAGAAGATGTGGAATGCAGTGAGGTGTTGCGAGGCAGTGCAGTGTGGTGGGAATGGTTACATGAGGTGAGATGGAGGGCGTTGTGGGAGAGAGAGAACGACGACCGCCAGGGTGATCCACTGGGACCCATGCTATTCGCAGCCAGCATCCACCACTGTCTCGTCGCCACAGCAGCGGCCCACCCGGAAGTGGTGTGTCTCGCGTATGCAGACGACATCACTCTGCTAGGCGAGACGCCGCACTGCACCGCGGCCTTCACTCACCTTACAGAGGCCCTCCTCAGCCTCGGCCTAGCCCACAATCCGGCGAAGTGCCAAGCGTGGTCCGCCTCCGCGTTGGAACCCGCCACCCTACCCCCCGGCGTCGCGATCTCCCTCGACGGTGTCCGCCTCTTGGGCAGCCCCATCGGACCTCCCACTGGCTGTGCTGCTCGTGTGCGTAAACGCCTTTCCGCAGCTGCTGAACCGCTCCCGCTCCTCTCCCAGATGGACCCGCAACTCTGCCTGCTTCTACTCACCCGCTGCGTGAGCCGCCACGCCTCGTTCCTTGTCAGAACCACGCCGCTCGAGGCCCTGCCGCTGGGGGAATGGTCTGCCTGGGGGAAAGAACTGTTCCACACCTATCTGGCCGCTGCACGCATAACGATCCCCAGGGACCGGGCAGAGAGGGAGAGGATCCGGCACCAGGCCGCTCTGCCCGCGTCCCTTGGAGGCCTCGGCATCACCAACCCTATCGCCTACCTGGCATCGGTCGTTTCTGCTGCCCATCTGCTGCGCTCGTTCGGCGATTCAGCAAACCCCTCCCTCACAGGTCTCCAGCCGCTGATGGACGCCGACGAGGAGTCCACCTCCCTCCTCCCGAGATGCCTAGTTTCCTTGGAAGCGGAGGCGGGATAGAGGCGCTTCAGGCGGGGAGACAAAAGCCTGACGGGCCAAAGCTCCAACAGGCTCTCTCCCTCGCGGTACACACAGACTGGTTTATTCGTCTTTTAGACAGCTCACGGAACATGGAGCTGCACCCACTGTCTGCCCACACGCTGAGGCTGCACTCCCTCCTAGGCCCGGGGGCGGGGGACTGGTTGCGAGCCGTCCCCCTGATCTCCTCCCTCCGCCTCGGGCCCTCTCTGTTTTCTACCGTGGCCTCCTTCCGCCTGGGCCTGCCTTTACCTGTGCCAAGACGCTGCAACTGCCGATACCGCACCACATTCCCTGACGACCGCCTTCCGAACCACCTGATGCGGTGCGAGAAAGGCGGGGGGAGAATTGCCACTCACCATGCCTTGCGGGATGAGTGCGCGAAGGTAGCGGCTGAAGCAGGCTTCACAGTGCACAAGGAGATGACGGCGTACTCACCAGTCGAAAACCTCAAAGCGGATATCTCTATCCGCCATCCCGACTCCGGTGAGGTGTGGATTTGTGACATCACCGTCACGGACCTCGTCTCCCACCAAGATGAGCACGCCCGTAAGGCTCCCGGTTGGGCGGACAAGAAGGAGAGAAAATATGCCGGACGGAGCGCCTGGGTGGGTTTCTACGCCATGGCGGTAGAGACTTACGGCTACCCTTCACCTGGGGTCCTCGATTTCCTCCGCAGCTGCGCGGAGCTAGCGGCCAGGAGGTGGTTCAACGCCTCTCCCAAGTCGAGGGAGGCCGCTAAGTTACTTACCGAGTACCGGCAGTGATGGAGCGTGATCCTGCAGAGAGCCCAAGCCAACGCCCTCAGGGATAAGACCCACGAGGCACTTACCGCGGATGTGCTAGGCCTGCGGGGCCCGTTCACTCCTCTGTCCGAAGGCCAGCTGTACCAACTGATAGAAGACCCCTCCGGCCACTAGGGCCGGAAGGGGAAGGGGCGGCTGTAGTTGTGTTAGGTTAGTAGATTGCTGTTGTAGCTTTGCTGTGTGCGGGTGTTGCCTTACCTGGTGTACCATGTTGCCTTACCTGGTGTACCATGTTGCCTTACCTGGTGTACCATGTTGCCTTACCTGGTGTACCATGTTGCCTTACCTGGTGTACCATGTTGCCTTACCTGGTGTACCATGTTGCCTTACCTGGTGTACCATGTTGCCTTACCTGGTGTACCATGTTGCCTTACCTGGTGTACCATGTTGCCTTACCTGGTGTACCATGTTGCCTTACCTGGTGTACCATGTTGCCTTACCTGGTGTACCATGTTGCCTTACCTGGTGTACCATGTTGCCTTACCTGGTGTACCATGTTGCCTTACCTGGTGTACCATGTTGCCTTACCTGGTGTACCATGTTGCCTTACCTGGTGTACCATGTTGCCTTACCTGGTGTACCATGTTGCCTTACCTGGTGTACCATGTTGCCTTACCTGGTGTACCATGTTGCCTTACCTGGTGTACCATGTTGCCTTACCTGGTGTACCATGTTGCCTTACCTGGTGTACCATGTTGCCTTACCTGGTGTACCATGTTGCCTTACCTGGTGTACCATGTTGCCTTACCTGGTGTACCATGTTGCCTTACCTGGTGTACCATGTAGACTTAAATAAGAAGGACCATTCGAGAACGAATGGGATGGACTGTAGTCTGTCCATTTCACCTCTCCTCTATGTTTTCCTTCCATGCCTCCGTCCTCCCCAGTCCCTCCTCGTCTATCCGTCCTCCCCGGTCCCTCCTCGTCTATCCGTCCTCCCCGGTCCCTCCTCGTCTATCCGCCCTCCCCGGTCCCTCCTCGTCTATCCGTCCTCCCCGGTCCATCCTCGTCTATCCGTCCTCCCCAGTCCCTCCTCGTCTATCCGTCCTCCCCGGTCCCTCCTCGTCTATCCGTCCTCCCCCATGTCTGCTCGCAAGGCCTGCACGTCCTGCGTGTCACTGCTAGGAGTGGATCATCCTCCTCCTGTCGCATGTCTCACCAGGCCCTCGCTTTGCACTGCAAGCAACCACCCAAGATACTGGCGCCTCTCCAAACGTTCACAGCACCCCACCACTCCCCACCACCGCTCACCACCGCTCATCACCCCACACCACCCCTCATCACCCTGCTAATCCCTCCCCTTGTGGTGGCAGGGCCAGCGCGCGGAGCTGTTTGCAGTGCGCGCAGCCAAGGCGCTGGCGGCGCTGAACGGGCGCTCGCAGGTCTCCCAGGCCGACCTCGTCCGCGCCGTGCGTGCTGCCACAGGGGGGGATGGAGGGGTTGGGAAGTTGAGATGGGGTTGGGGGTTGGTGGTGAGGAAGGGGAAGAAAGGGGGTTGGGAGATTGGGGGGAAAGTTGAGGAGGGGGGGGGGGGGGGGGGGGGGGGGGGGGGTGCAGTTGTGGGGGATTGTAGTGCTAGAGGCAAGCAAGCAAGGTTTAGCAGGTGAAGGGATGGAGGCGCAGCACTGAGGGACCAGGTGGCTTTTGAAATAAGCAGCAGCAGAGAAAAGGCTGAGAGGCGGGGGAAGGGGATCTGTGCGGCTCGCAAGGAAAGTGAATAAGGGAGGGAGCGGGGGGGAGGCAAGGCAGGGAGTGGGAGAGGGGAGAGAGGCGGGGCGTGGGAGGAGGTGGTTGAAGTTGTGATACGGCATAACCCTTGACACTCCATGTCCCTGTGTCGTGCAACCATGCTCATTGCCAATGAACTGCCACCGGATGCAACAATCACCCTCTTATAGCCCCTTCCCTCCCCCTCCCATCCCATGCCCAAACGGCTCTGTTTTTGAGAGCAGGCGCAGCTGGCCATAGTGCCACGTGCCACGGTGTCATTGGCCAGCGAGCCCAGCAGCAGCCCGCCCCAGTCCGGCCGGGCAGCACCCCCTCCTCCCAGCAGGCGGGCGGAGGACAGCAAGGAGGAGGCACAGGAGGAGCAGGAGGGCGAGGTGAGGGGAAGCGCGAGAGCGTGGGAGAGGGGCGGGGAAAAAGGGGCGTACATGGGGGGGAGGGGAGGTGGAATGGAGGGTGAGAAGCAAGGGGTAGGGGCTGATGGTAACAACATGCAAGGAGGGATGCGGTGCTGGTGGTGAGAATGAGATGACCCGAGTGGAGCTGTGAGTGGAGGGGTCGTGCGACTGTGTGGAGTGCAGCACAAGGCAAGACGGAAAACCACCCCAAGTGGTGTGTAGTGCTGCTGCTGCGTCACCATCGCCTCACACCACCTTCCACCACCGTCGTCACTGCCCACCCACCCTCTCCCTCCACTCTCCTCATCATCTACCCCCTTCAGAGGACGAGCACCAGCTGGTGCCACCATCGTTCTTGGCGGCAGCACCAACCTCGCTTCTCCTCGCCATTGCACTACTGCCCCCCCCACACTACACACTTCCTCCCCCTCCCCTTCCCTCCTCCTCCTTCCCTGTCCAGCCGCCCCCAGTGGGACGAGGATCCGCTGGTCCCAGCATCCTTCGCCGTGCCACCGGGAAACCCTCCTCTCCACACCGCTGCGCCTTCCCCTCCCCTCAGTCCCCTTGCCCCCCTCTCCCCTCAGTCCCCTTGCCCCCCTCTCCCCTCAGTCCCCTTGCCCCCCTCTTCCCCCTTTCCCCGTTGCCCCAGCCGCCCTCAGTGGACGAGGATCAGCTGGTGCCGGCGTCCTTCATGGTGTCACTCCACTCCTCGCAGCACCACTGCACCCTCTCCTCTCCTCACTCCCCTCCCCCCCCAACCTCCTCCCCCTCCTCTTAACGTTTCCTCATCCGTCCCCCCGTGAAGTGGACCTGTTGGTCCCAGCGTCTTTCTTGACCGCCCCACCTCTTTCCTCTCTCCCACCCCCCCCACTCTCCTGCCTTTCTCTCCCCCCTCTGCCCTTCCCCCAGCCGCCCTCAGTGGACGAGGATCAGCTTGTCCCGGCATCCTTCGTCGTGGCAGCGGAGGACACGCGCCTCGACGCCGCCGCCCTGCAGCTGTTCCAGCGGGCGGCGCGCAGGGCAGGGCGGGCGGGGCGGTCGAAGAATAAGATCTACTCGGAGGAGCGCGGGCGATACGTGAAGGCGCTGCTGCCTAAAGGCAAGGTGCGCTGCTGATGGTGGGTGATGCTTGTAGGGGACATTGTTGCAGTTCAAAAGATGCTGGCATTGGTGTGGCCGATATGTGAAGGCACTGCTGCTCAAAGGCAAGGTGTGTGTTGCTGCCTAAAGGCAGGGCGGGTGTGTAATGACCTTTCACAAAGAAACACAGTCGCGTAACTGAAACTATGTAACTCTTCAAAATATAGTAAGAAAGACAGTTACGTAACTGAAACTATGTGACTCTTCAAATTGTAGTGAATAAAAGAATAAACATACAAGCTTGGATAAAGTTTATGGTCAGTCAAACATGTGGTGCCTGAACGGGGATCAAACCTTCATGTGTACAACAAGGTGGTTGTGACGGCGCTGCTGCTCTCAGGCAAGGCAACGTGGTGCTGCGAGGCTTTGGTGGTATGCGATTGATTTGGTTGAATGGTTGGTGTGGGTTGTAAGGAGCACGTGGCTGGTGGCGATGGGTCATGGCGTGTGATGAAGGGAGGCTCACCTCTCCCCATGCCCATCGCGTGCTGCAGCACTGCTGCTGTTCAGTGCTACCCGCCCGTACCGGGCCCCCTCGCCGTCTCACCACTACCCCTTTCCAACCGCTGCCAGGTGGTACGGCTGGCAGTAGACGCCACTCTCCGGGCGGCAGCACCGCTGCAGCGGGTGCGGCGTGAGAGGGCGGCGAGGACGGGCGGCAGAGAGCGGCGCATCTATGTGGACAAAAGCGACCTGCGGCGGAAGCTGCTGGCGCGGCGAGCGTCGTCTCTGGTGGGCGCAGGGAAGGCTGCATGGATGCATGGGTGGGCTGTAGGGATGTGCCGCATGTGTGTGGTGTGATATGAGAGCCGTCATTCAGCTTGGTGCATGACACTTGACGAGCCACACCCACGCAATACAACGCATGGCGCCCACCAGCCACACGCTCAGGTGGTGGGGCCAAAGCCTTAGCCCACCGCATGGCGAAGCTGAGCGTTGGGTTGTCATTCAGCAGTGCTCATGTTCAACCATTGTGCCTCTTGAACGCCTTGTTTCTTCAATCCCATGGCAGCTGTGCCACTCTTCCACTCCTCCCAGTTTTCCTCCTTCACAACCCCCTCCCTTTCTCGCTGTGCATTTTTTCCCCCACAATCATCTCGTCGGTCTCCACACACACAATCAACTCCCCCAATCACCTCCCACCCCGCTGCACACCCACCCCCAGGTAGTGTTCATAGTGGATGCGAGTTGAAGCATGGCATTGAACCACAGTTGACCAAGAACCCTCACACACACACACTCACCTCCCACACACCCCTCCCGCACACCTTTCCCCCACACCCATCCCCCCCCCTCCATGTGGTGTTCATAGTGGATGCGAGTGGCAGCATGGCGCTGAACCGCATGGCACCTGATGCACATGGCACCTGCTGCAGGCCTCCTACACCCTCCCATCCCCCCCTCCACCCACACCTCTCAGGTGGTGTTCATAGTGGATGCGAGTGGCAGCATGGCGCTGAACCGCATGGGGGCAGCCAAGGGAGCAGCGCTACAGCTGCTGGCGGAGAGCTACAGCAAGCGCGACAGCATCGCCGTCGTGCCCTTCCACGACCAACACGCTGACCTCCTCGTGCCGCCCTCCCGCGCTGTCGCCCTTGCCCACAAGCGGTACGTGAGTGGTGGTGCCACTGGGTTATGGGGTGCAGGAAGGCTGAGTGCGGTGAGAGATGGAGGCGCAAGGGAGCAGCGCTACAGCTGCTGGCGGAGAGGTACAGCAAGCGAGACAGCATCACGGGCGAGCCCGTGCACGAGGAGCGCGCCGTCGTTACACGCTCTCACGCACTCGCCGCCACCGTCCCGTGCTGTCTCGCCCACAAGCGGTGAGTGCGCATAAAGACGGTGAGGCAGTGAGAGCTTCAGCAAGCGCCACAGCATCGCCGTCGTGCCCTTCCATGATCAGCAAGCTCACCTCCGTGTGCCGCCCTCCCGTGCCGTCGCCCTCGCTCACAGGCGGTGCGTGCCGTGAGCGCTACAGCGTGCGGGATGGTGCCACCGGGTGAGGTGCGGGATGTGGTTGAGTGCGGTGAGACATGTAGGCGCAGGGAGCGATGCAGGGAGATCGAGCAGCCGTGCCATTCCCTGCCCAGTCGCTGCCCGCCTGTCCTCTTGTCCCCGGGGCTTTCCTTCAAGACCTTCTCACATAGCACCTATGCCTCTCCTTCTATTCCACTCCTCTCCAATCACTCTCAACAGGCCATGCAAGAAAATGCTCACTGCTGCACTCGTTCCCCACCACCCCCACCTATCTGCCCCCCTCCTACACCACCGCCCTCCCCCTATCTTTCCCCCAGCCTGGAGAGTCTGCCATGCGGGGGCGGGTCACCGCTGGCGCACGCGCTGGTGGTGGCGGTGCGGGCGGCGGAGGTGGCTCGGAGGCGGGGCGACGTGGGGCAGGTGGTGGCGGTGCTCATCACCGACGGCCGCGCCAACGTGCCGCTCTCTGCATCGCTCGAGGCCATGGAGGGGGGCGGTGGTGGCGGAGAGGGTGCGACGGGGGCAGGGGGGGAAGAGAAGCTTCCTCCGCGGCTGGAAGACATCAAGGTGCGCCGTGGGGCAGGTGGTGGCAGTGCACGTTACCAACGGCCGCACCAACGTGCCACTCGCCCTCGAGGGGGGAAGGTGCAGTGAGTAGCAGTGTCGGTGGTGGCAGCAAGGAGGGTGGGACGGGTGGAGGAGGGGAAGAGAAGGTTCCTCATCCTCTACTCTCTTCTCTTCTCCCCTCTCCTCTCCTCGAATGGTCCTCTTCTCTCTCCTCTCCTCCCTCTCCTCTCTTCTCCTCTCCTCTCCTCTCCTCTCCCCTCCTCTCCTCTGCATGCAAGGAATACTCATTAGTTTCACAACTTGCCAACCCAGCTCGCATCCCTTACACCTGCCCCCCCACCTTCTCCCTTCCTTCCATAGGAACCCCTTTCCTAATCCGCTGCTGCCCTTTCCCTGCTTATTCCCTGATGGCTGGCAGGAGGAGGTGCTGAGCATAGCGGCCAAGATGGGGGCAGCGGGCATACAGCTGCTGGTGATCGACACGGAGAACAAGTTTGTTTCCTCTGGCTTTGCAAAGGAGATTGCGAAACACTCTCAAGGTGAGTACTCCTAAGGCGAAGGTACACATTCAGCTAGCCGATTTTCGTCAGGCATCTGGCGATAACTCTTTAATGGTACTTGCACACAAATGAGTTTCTTTCATGTACCAAACTCGTTTGGCAAGTGTGCACCCTCATTACAAGCTAAGCACCCAAAGGTGAGTGTGTTTGCCTCATCCTAAAATGAGCTGCCATAGAGGCAATTTCAAGGTGTCACATACTTGTGTTAATTGATCTTAATCCCCATCTTTTGTGCCAAACAGGAAAATACTTTTATCTACCGCATGCAACCGTCGCTGCTGTAGCTGCAACCGCTCGTGCAGCTATGCAAGACTTCAAAAAGCCCTAGGTCTTGGCATTTCATAGGCCACACTGTACATATTACAGTTCATGAAGGCAGATGCTCAGATTTTTATAGCTAGGCTTGTACATGTGCTTTGGTTGGTATGTTTGATGTAAATGGGGCTTTTGTGGGAATTTTATGTATATGTTCCTATAGCGGTTTAAGATAAATCATTTACATGAAAATGCAGATAATATTATATTTTCACAACCGTATGTTGTTTGTAATCATATCCATATGTATAGCTAATTGTTCCAATGAGTAAGGTATACGCTGTTTTTTCGCATATGTAATGTTCTGTCCACCCCTTCATCTCAAATTGACCTTCCCCAACCAAACCCAAGGACGCATCACCATTTCGTCGCAGCGCGGTAGAAAGATGCTCGGCAGGGGCAAGTAAAGCTGGTCGACCTCACATAAAAAGAGGAATATCTCGTAACCCGTCCTCATTCAATATCTCGTCCCGTCTCGTCAGCTTGTTCCAGAGTCCAGACCATTTCTCAGCAACAAGGAAATTCGCCTCCAAATATGGCCTCAGGTTGCAATCAGCTCTTTACATGCACTCATTGTTTGCTTCCGCTTTCTTAACTCATGCTTGGTACAGATATGCGCGTGGAGCCCAAGGCTTTGATACTTGTCGGAGGCTATGGCACACGCCTTCGACCTCTGACGCTGAGGTATGGTTCAGTCTGTCTTATCAATGCTCGACGCAAATGCAGGATGATCGATCAATAAAATCCTAAAATACTGAACATCCGTGCAGCAAGCCTAAGCCACTCGTCGAATTCGCGGGAAAACCAATTCTTCTTCACCAGGTAATCGTCATAATGTTACCAAGGCGCTGATTTATCGTGGTTCTCCATGTGCTTACATTGGTCACAGCTCGAGGCTTTGCGGGAGTGCAACGTGAAAGAAGTGGTCCTTGCGTTGAGCTACATGCCGCACGGATTCAAGCAGTTTCTTGAGACATACGAAAAAGAGTTAGGAATGACCATTACGTGCTCTCGGGAAGAGGAGCCGCTAGGGACGGCTGGGCCTCTGGCTTTAGCCAAGAGTATTCTGCTAAAGTCTACTGCGTCTTCTCCACCTCAACCATTCTTTATGCTCAACAGCGACGTGATCTGCGACTATCCATTCAAAGGTAACATTCGAATTGCTCTCTTTCCATACAACTCTGTCCAGACTTGACAGTTGTCTTACGGATCCATGCCTTCTGATGCAGGACTGCTTGAGCTTCATGTCAGCCGTGGTGCCGAAGCTACACTTATGGTGACTCGCGTTGAGGACCCCAGCAAGTATGGTGTCGTGATAATGGATGATGCAGGTGCCGTCAGCCGTTTCGTGGAAAAGCCAAAGACATTCGTTGGTGATACTATCAACGGAGGCATTTACATTCTAAGCCCGTCCGTCCTTGAGAGGGTTGAGCTGCGGCCTATGTCAATTGAGAAGGTGTTTATCGTCTTACGCATATGTGCTCTTACAATAATTTTGAGGCTGACTCTCATTGTCTTGTGCAGGACATTTTTCCAAGAATTGCCATGGATAAGAAGTTGTATGCCATGGTTCATACAGGCTACTGGATGGATGTTGGGCAGCCCAAAGACTACCTAGAAGGGATCAAGACGTATTTGCATCACAAGAGAAGTTCACATCCAGAGATGCTGGCCACTGGAAGCAACATTGTTGGGAATGTGATCGTAGATCCCTCTGCTACCATCTCCAAGAGCGCGTCTGTTGGTGAGTAGGCCGTCAGTTGAAGGTGGTGGTAAGGCACGTGGCATGAATCTTCTTACTGAATCATGTGATTGTGACAGGCCCTGATGTTGTCATTGGCCCTAATTGCATCATCCACGATGGTGCGAGGATTCATGGAAGTGTTCTCTTGGGCGGTTCTCGAATTGGCTCAGGTAGCCTGATTCTGAACAGCATTATTGGCTGGAACTCAACCGTGGGGAAGTGGACACGCATTCAGAAGAATTCTGTCCTGGGCGAGGATGTCACTGTGAACGATGAGGTGCTGATCAATGGCGCAAAGGTTTTGCCTCACAAGGAGGTGAAGGCAGATGTTGATACTCCACAGATCATAATGTAGCCAAGCTATGGCTGTGAACAATGGTGTCAAGTGTTGGCAAGATGCGCTGTAATTGTTATGTATGTACTATTTACTGATATAAACATCCTTCTACGTATCAGCTGTTGAACTAGCAACTGACACACGGTACCAAACCAAGAGTGTCTATGTGGTACAACTACCAACTAAAACAAGTACCGTACGTGATTTCACTGCTGTTGCTGCTCTGCAACGCAAAGAGCTTCAAGTCCAGGAACCTCCATTATCATGGGAAGCTCTGGTCTCCATGGCAGCTCATCCTTTTCCCAAATCGACCAATGGCTCTGCTTCATGGTCGGTGTCGGCCTTGGGCTTGCATGAAACAACCGCAGCTGGCGGAACAAGAAAGCCATTTCCAGCTCGTCCTCCTCCACCTCATCTGCAGTGCTTTCGGTGTCAGCCTGCTCATCTGAAGTGTGTCCCTCACTCTGATTGGACGAGGAACTCGAGCTCGTATTTTTGCCTGACTCTGAATCAGACAGTTCCCGACAACCTCCCCTTTCTGGCTGAACCTCCTTTCCAGTGCCAGACTCCTCCTCCCTCTCATTGTCATCAGAGCACCCTTTCACCAGCACGCCTGCTGGTCTTGCACTAGTTGGCGCAAATGAGGTGAACTTGCAATCACTGGCATCACGCCGAGACTGCTGCACCTTGAGCCTAAAGGTTGCCTCATAAGCCGCACACCTGGCTGCTACCTCGAGTGCTTGCAGGCTCTCATCGTCCTCACTGTCATCCCACTCTGTCCGTAAAGATGGCTCCAGGACCAAGGACATGCCATTGGAGTCTTCATACTGGTTGTGCTGCTCATCACCTGCTCCCTCATCATCCTCCCCTTCCTCGTCCTCCTCTTCCTCGCCTTTCTCACCCTCCTCCCTATCCTCCTCTACTTCCTCTTCTCCCTCCTCTCCATTCTCCTCTTCCTCTTCGTCTTCCTCCTCATCCGCTTCTTCCTCTACTTCCTCTTCCTCATCTTCTTCTTCCTCTTCCTCTTCCTCCTCTTCTTCCTCCTCTTCCTCCTCCTCCTCCTCTTCCTCCTCTTCCTCCTCTTCTTTTTCCTCTTCTTCCTCTTCCTCCTCCTCCTCCTCCTCCTCCTCCTCCTCCTCCTCCTCCTCCTCCTCCTCCTCCTCCTCCTCCTCCTCCTCCTCCTCCTCCTCCTCCTCCTCCTCCTCCTCCTCCTCCTCCTCCTCCTCGACCACCACCACCCCTAGTTCCTCTTGTTGTAATTCCTGAACCTTATCTTCTTCATCACGTCTCCCTTCTTCCTCTCCAACCACCGCTTCCAGTTGCTGCTCACCACTCATTGTGCCCGTCCATTGTCCATCCGTTACCGTCCCCTCCTCTCCTCTCACAGTTTCCCCCTCATCCTCAACGCCAACGCCCTCCACGCTCCAATTTTCGTCCTCCATCCGCCTATCCTCACTGCTAGCCTGCAGCAGCGTCAGGAAGATGCTGTTTGCAGCCTCCTCAACAGCCGGCTCCCCTCCAGCGTCCTGCCCCATGGCAATCGTCGCATCCAGAATCTCCTCCCACGCTTGCCTCTCTCTCTTCCCCTCGCATCTCCCCGCTCCCCATTCCTCGCCTCCAAATGCACTCTCCTGCTCATCACTTCCCTCCCTCAAGCCCTCTCCCACCACTCTCCTAACTCGTGGCTCTTCTGAGCTTTCATGCAAAGGCTGGGGAGGAGCGCTCACCCCATCACAATCCCCGCTGCACCCATCCGGCTCATCCGATCCATCCCCTTCTTCTCCCAACTGTTGCCTCACCGCCCTCTCCCCCCAGCGCTCCTCCCCCTCCGCAATTCCTTCCATCACTTCTACCGCTTCCATCCATTCAATCCCTTCAATTCCCTCACTACCCCAGGACCTTCTCCTCGCCTGTGCATCAAAGAACTCCTCATCCTCGCTAGTAGCAGACTCAAACATCTCTGAACTGTTCTCCCCGTACACACTTGACGCTTCAGTCCCCGCTTCCCCGAAAGAAGCCCTTGGTGTCACACTTGACCCAGCGCCCTTCGCCAGCCCAGCCATACAACTCCCAGGAGACAAGCTCTTCTGTGAGTTTCCCGCAACAACCTCTGAGTGCTGCTGCTGCTGCTGCTGCTGCTGCTGCTGCTTCCTCTCATCCGTTAGACCCACCACACGGTTCACTTCAGCCAGCGGCTGCCTGCACCCCATCGCCTGCTGCTCGCCCACCAGCCCGCCAAACACGTCCGCCATCCAACCGCCACTCGCATCGCCCCTTCCAAGCCCGCCCCATGCTCCACTGAAAGCGCCAAGCACACCAGTCTCGCACGCGCCTCCTGCCCGAGGGCCCAAAGGGCTCAGGGGATCCAAGGGGTCTAGGGGCATCTGCTCCCACTGCGCCGCCAGCCTGAACGCCTCGTGGGACAGCTGGCTCAGACTGCCGCTGAACAGCTCCCCCAGAGGCCCACTGCCCGCCCGGCTGTAGCACCCGCTGCTCTGACTCAGCGGCCCGCTGCCTGTACCGCTGCGTGGCGGGTTGTAGCACCCGCTGCCCTGGCTTAGCGGTCCGCTGCTCTGATAACTCAAAGAGCCGCTGCCCTGGTGGCTCAGAGGCCCGCTGCGTGGCCGGTTGTAGCGCCAATTGGCCTGGCGGCTCAAGGGCCCGCTGCCCCATCGCCTGAGCGGCCCGCTGTGCAGCCTGCCTGAAGGGCTCCTCACTCGCGCTCCCAGTGGGCCGCTGCCTGACCGCACCAGCGGTCCACTGAGGCTGCGAGGACCATTGCAAGGCACGCTGAGAGGGCTGCTGACACTGCGAGGGCCACTTGGAGGGTCGTTGCACGCGTCACTGAGAGGGCCACTGAGAGGGCCGCTGAGAGGGCCACTGAGAGGGCCGCTGAGAGGGCCACTGAGAGGGCCGCTGAGAGGGCCGCTGAGAGGGCCGCTGAGAGGGCCACTGAGAGGGCCGCTGAGAGGGCCGCTGAGAGGGCCGCTGAGAGGGCCACTGAGAGGGCCGCTGAGAGGGCCGCTGAGAGGGCCGCTGAGAGGGCCGCTGAGAGGGCCGCTGAGAGGGCCGCCGTAAACGCCACTGCTAGCGCCAGTGGTCTTTGTGTTGGGTTGGGTGTGGGAGGCAGTCCAGGTGCTGTGAGTGGCACGGCCGCACCTGAATCTGCACGTGCACCTGCTGCTGCTGGGACTGCTGCTGCTGGAGCCGCCTGCTGCACTGCTGTCCCCGCCCTTGCTGTGCCGCGCACAGCACCCGTTGCTCGCCACGCTGCTGCTGCTGATGCCACAGCTGCTACTGCTGCTGCCATGGCTGTGGCTGCTGTGGCTGCCCCAGTGGCGCTGCCTCGGGAGCTCCGAGGAACTCCCCCGGCCCGCCTCCTCCTCCTGCTGCACCACCTCTTTCTCCTGCCTCTCCTTCTCCTCCATTTGCTGCCACGTCCCCTGCTTTGGAGGGCCTGGCTTTTCACGCACGTCGCGGCGAGTGGTTTCTTCGATCCACTGCATGCCGCTGCGCAGCGCAGCACTGGTGGGGTCCACACTGACGTCCGTCCCCTCAGCCCTGACCACATCCCTCCCTGCGTCCCCACTCCCCGTCTGCAACACCTCGCCCTCCTCCTCCTCCTCCTCCTCGCAGTGCCCACCACCCAAGCCCAACGCCGCAAAGGCCAGGGACACCCGACCCACATCTGCTTCCGTGCCTCCGTTGCTGTCCTCCTCCCCTCCGCCGCCCACAGCAGCATCACCTTGACCCTCCTGCGTCCGCTGGTCGCCTCGCTGCCCTCCCTTGGCCGCTGCCTGCTCTCCCGGCATCTCACCACCCCGCATGGGCTCCAACGCTGCTCGCCCTGCCACCTCTCCGCCTGCTTCTTCGTGTGCTGCGCGCCACCGCTTGCTCCACCGCACTCCCCGCAGCCGCCACGTCCCCGCTGCTGTGCTCCCTGCTGCTGCGCTGCCCGCCGCTTCACCCCCCGCTGCTGCGCCTCCTGTTGCTGCACACCCCGCTACCCACTCGCAGCACCCGGCGCCTTCACACGACTCTGCTGCTGACGTGCCAGCAGCGCCACTCCCCTCCAGCCCACGCTGCAACTCCTCCGCCTCGTTTTCGCCCCCTGCCCGCTCGCTCCCCCCCTCCGCTGTCTCCCCCACCGTCACCGCTCTGACCTCCCGCCTCCCCGCCACTCGCCCCTGTGCCACCACGGCGTGCTGCTGCTTGCTCGCGCTATTGCTCGCCGCCTCACCCCCACGCAACGAGTCAACGGCTCCCCCGCCCGCCACCCGCCCTCCCTCGTCCGCCACCGCCCCCTCCGCTTCTACGTCGCACGCTCGATCTCCCTCCCCACCCCTTTCTTCTTCTTCCTCCTCCCACTCCTCCTCATCCTCCTCCTCCCTTTCCTCCTCCTCATCCTCCTCCTCCTCCTCCTCCTCCTCCTCCTCCCTTTCCTCCTCCTCATCCTCCTCCTCCTCCTCCTCCTCCTCCTCCTCCTCCCTTTCCTCCCATCCTTCTTCCTCCTCCTGCTCGTTCAATCCTTTCTCCTCACCTTCCTCTAACTCCTCTTCAACCCGCATGTCCACGTCATCCTCTTCCCCCGTTCCCGTTTCCTCCTCCTCCCATCTCCCATCCTCATCCTCCTTCTCAACCTGCCACGCCTCATCTTCGTTTCCATTAGCCTCTGCGTCACACTCCTCCGCGACCTGCGTGTCCCCGCCATCCTCCTCCACCACCTCCCACTCACTCGCCTCCCGCTCACTCACCTCCTCCTCTGTCGCATATGCCTCTTCGTCCGCTTCCTCTCTCTTTCTCCTCCTTGTCACCTCATTCGCCCATCGGCATTCCCCTTGTTCGCCACTTTCGTCACTTTCGCCGCTTTCGCTACTTTCGCTCTCACCCATCCTCCTGCGGCTCTCCGATCCCCTCTCGCCAGTCGTAATCGTAGCGACTGTCTCGACCCGACCAGATCCGTCGCTCGAAACTCGCGACCCTCGCTGCGACTCCTTTGAGTCGCCCAGAGCGTATGCCTTCGCATCCCCGTTAACAGATGCCTCGGTTGAGTATCCCGGTGACTCCAGCTGAAAGTGCGAGCGGAACCTCATCGTACGGCTGTGATCGCTCCGTCGGTCAGGGCTGTCGGCCCAGAGAATGCCTGGAGCGGAAGATGCGGGTACCTGGTGGGAACAGGCAGGGCATGTGTGATGCGGTAAGTGGCGCGTCGACTCGGCATGTGGATCGAGCAGGACTGCGCGCCACTGTGGCGGCTGGCAGCGACTGATGTGCGGGATGGGGAGAAAGGCAGGTGATAACGCGTCGAGCAGTGGGAGCCAGCCTCATCACCTCTCTTTCCTGCGCCATTGCTTTCCACGCGTCATCTCGCGCTCCCAGTCACCGTGCCACACTCCCTAATCTTCTGCTTCCCACCCTCCTCTGCCCACGCCCTTCCCGTTCGCCGCATCCCGCTCACCTGTCGTCGCCTCGAGCCACCGCGCGCCATGGCTACAACGGCTTCGCGCTTCTTCACCGCCGCCAGCACCTCCCAGTGCGCGCGCCGGTCGAATCGAATCATTCGCTCCTTATCGAATTCATCCTCGCTAAGAGCGCTCTCTGCTATGACGAAATACGTCCATCCCTTACACAGCCGCTTCGACAAGCGAAGGCTCTTCTTCGTGGGGCCGTGAAACAAGCCGGAAGTTGCGGCGCGTAGCGAGAGAGCGATTTCGAGAGGCTCGGACCCTGCGGAGCAAGACAGCGTGGACCTGGACGACGATGACGTGGACACAGGAGCCGATGACGTGGATGGGAAGGCTAGTGACGTGGTCGCTGCGCGGAGGCAGTACGGCAGTACGCGCCTGAGCGCCTGCTCTACTGTGAGGCGGGCGGCGAGGGAGAGGTGAAAGCCGTCGGGCAGAATAACTATCGCTCCAGCTGCCCGGCTGTCAGGCGTTGTGCGCCAAGGCCACATGACGGCGAAATCTCTGCTGTCAGTCGCACAGGCTTCGCTGGTCTTTGTTGAATTGATTCACGTCCCGCAATCAAATGCTACAACGGGATGTTCTACGAGTACTGGAGAGTGAAATATTGTTAACTATGGTCTTATGCTCTCGTGAGACTACGATGCGCTAGATTGTAATATTCTGAAATCCGCTGGCCGCGCGGATGTGGGGTTGATCTTTTGGCGACCCACTACATGGAGCAAATGCGCTTCTCCTTATCAACATTCGAGCATGGAGGCTCCGTCACTCAAGCATGCGTGTCTTCTTGAGTCACTCGCCTCGCCACTGCCCTCATCGTCCCGCTTTGGCTGGCACCTGCAATTGTGGAAGGTGCTGCAAGGGTTATTGGCGGAAGGGAGTGTCGAGTCTGGTGCGACGCCGAGTTGGCCAGATTTGGATGACAGCGAAACGCGAATCTGACGAAACGCGAAAACGGCTATAGCAGAACTGACAAGCTGTAGGTTAGCTACACTGAGAATGGAAGTATTTGTTACGGCCTCAATGTATCGAGGTAGTGAGGATTGCACTCATGGCCTATTATTCGTTTTAGGCACTCGGAGACATCAGATCTGAACATATGGCTAGTCATGAATTTCAGACCTGGAAATTTCGTTTAGTCTGATTTTCAGACCTGCTAATGCTATATGTCTGACTCATCAGTCTCAAGAAGTACGTGCAACGGAATGATTGGAATAGAAACGGATGTGATACAAATATGCAACCCTAACAGCTGTTGTCAAAACATTGTATTGTGTAGGCTGTAGTGGGGTAGCCTATATGGGGTACAACCCAGTTTAGGGTTAGTACTTGTACCAAACCCTGTCATAGTTCATTCATTCCTGCTGCTCATTCTGACATGGTTTCAGAGCAGGTCCTGTCCCAGTGTCAGAATCCCAGTCACTAACCACTGGGATAAAAGGGCTTGTTTGTGTAGCGGGTGAGTGCGCCCATAACCCCCCAGGCCAACGTGCCTGTAACCCTTCCCTAGGATCAATCGGGGATCACCAGTGGACCTCTGACACCCCCCCGCACTGGGATGCCCGAGGTGCACACACCGGGATTCGAACCCGAGATCTTCGCTCTGATACCATGTCAGAATTCCAGCCACTAACCACTGGGATAAAAGGGCTTGTTTGTGTAGCGGGTGAGTGCGCCCATAACCCCCCAGGCCAACGTGCCTGTAACCCTTCCCTAGGATCAATCGGGGATCACCAGTGGACCTCTGACACCCAGGACCGTTCTCGTTAGGCCACAGATCGAACCCTGCCCGTCAAGCTACCCCACCACACGCGCATGCCCTGCCCTGCCCTGCGTCGCGCTGCCCCGCGCACGCCCTGCCCTGCCTTGCGTTGCGTCGTGCTGCCCGCGCAGGCCCTGCCCTTCCCTGCGCTGCGCCGCCCCGCGCACGCCCTGCCCTGCGTCGCGTGCCTCGCGCACGCCCTGCCCTGCCCTGCGTCTCACGCCCCGCGCATGCCCCAGCTGCCCGTCGCGTCGCGCGCCCCTGCTGCCCGTCGCGTCGCGCGCTTCTGCTGCCCATCGCGCCGCGTGCCCCTGCTGCCCGTCGCGTCGCTTCGCCCGTGCGGACTGCCCCAGCCCGCCGCGTCGCCCGTACGCCCTGCCCTGGCCCGTCGCGTCGCCCGTGCGGGCTGCCCCAGCCCGTAGTGTCGCCCGTCCGCCCTGCCCCTGCCCGTCGCGTCGCCCGTGCGGGCTGCCCCAGCCCGTAGCGTCGCCCGTCTGCCCTGCCCCTGCCCGTCGCGTCGCCACTGCAACCCGCGCTCGCCTCTGCAGCCCGAGCTCGCCCCTGCAGCCCGCACTCACCCCTGCAGCCGCACTCGCCCCTGCAGCCCGTGCTCTCCCCTGCAGCCGCGCTCGCCCCTGCAGCCCGCGCTCGCCCCTGCAGCCCGCGCTCGCCCCTGCAGCCCGCGCTCGCCCCTGCAACCGCGCACGCCCCTGCAGCCCGCGCTCGCCCCTGCAGCCGCGCTCGCCCCTGCAGCCCGCGCTCGCCCCTGCAGCCCACGCTCGCCCCTGCAGCCGCGCTCGCCCCTGCAGCCACGCTCGCCCCTGCAGCCGCGCTCGCCCCTGCAGCCCGCGCTCGCCCCTGCCATCGCGCCGCCCTCCGCAACCCGCGCTCAGCTCTGCTGACCGACCGCCGCCCTCCTTGGCCGTACGCCGTCCTGCCTTACCCTACATGCTACTCTAGTGCCTCCTCGCCACCCTGCATTCTCTGAGTGCTGCCCTGCTGGTCGCACGCCTCCTCGGTTTGCCCGCTATGACTTCTCTTCGTGGTAGCGGTGGGATTGGTGGCGGCGGTGGTGGCAGCAATGGGAGTGGTGGCGGCGGCCGTCGTAGCAGTCGCGGTAGAGCTGTTCAGTGGGGAGTTTCTAGCGGTGGCCAGATGCAGCCGCAGCGGCGTCCGCGCGAGACCCTTACGTCTCAGCAGCTTCGTGAGTGGTTAGCTCAGCGTGACCCTGGGTGTACTGCTCGCAGCCCGTACGTCATTCGCACAGGTGATCGGGCTGGTCAGACCTGCGGGACACATGGCCACACAGAGTCTCGCTGCTTCCCTTATCTGAGCGACGCCTGGCGCGCAGAGTTTGGCGTCGCGGCTGAGCTCCCCCACTGGTTGGAGCTGCGTCAGCGCGGTGTGGATATTTGCTCTAGACTATGACGCTATCCTTACGGCCATGTACGCTTTGCCTGCTGGTACTGAGGGTGACTGCTACCTGTGTGTGCCGCCCGACCCAGGTATAGCGGCTGCTGCTCTAGGTGCTAGTGAGTCTGCTCTCTCTGGTATAGAGGCTGCTGCTCTAGGTGCTAGTGAGTCTGCTCTCTCTGGTACTGCGCCTACTGAGGCCTTGCACACCTTCACGCTTGACTCAAGTGCTTCCCGCTGTTTCTTTCGCGACAGTACCACAGTCACACCACTCCCTGCACCTGTTGCAGTCTCTCTGGCTGACCCCTCCGGGGGCCCAGTTCTTGCACGTTCCTCCACTGTTCTCCCGTGTCCGGCGGTTCTCACTGACAGGTCTTCACCTCCCCTCGTTCTCTACGAACTTGGTGAGTACCGCCGTCCTTCAGGATGCTGGGGTTGATACCTTTACCCCTGGAGGACAGCGTGTGGCGATCTGCACGTGTGCACGGACGGGCCGTCACCTGGCCACGTTCACCCGTCGGCCTGGGTCGAGCCTGTACACACTGACTACTGAGCCTCCTCAGGTCGCTGCGTCTGGTCAGGTGTCTGCGTCAGGTCAGCTGTCAGCCCCTTGTTCGTGTCGCCTCCTTTCGCACCAGAATCTCTTATGGCACCACCGCCTTGGTCACCCCTCCCTGCCACGCCTCCGTGGCATGCACTCCCGCCTCCTTGTCTCTGGCCTTCCCAGGTCTCTGCCCCCCCTCCCGCACTTGCCTGCCCCGCCCTGCCTTCCTTGCGTCGAGGGGTGGCAGCGCGCCGCTCCTCACTCCTCCTCGTTTCCCCTGACGACTGCTCCCCTGCAGACTCTCCACATGGATGTGTGGGGCCCAGCCCGCGTCAGTGGACAGGGCCGCGAGCGGTACTTTCTGCTGGTTGTTGACGACTACTCGCGTTACACCACGGTCTTCCCCTTGCGCAGCAAGGGTGAGGTCCCTGCTGTCTTGATCCCTTGGATCCGCACTGTTCGTCTCCAGCTCCGCAGGCGGTTCCGCACGGACTTTCCTGTCCTGCGTCTGCACTCTAACAGAGGTGGTGAGTTCTCCTCCGACCTCTTGGAGGACTTTCGTCAGGGGGAGGGCATCCTCCAGTCGTTCACGCTTCCGGCCTCACCGCAGCAGAATGGGGTTGCTGAGCGCCGCATTGGCTTGGTCATGGAGGTCGCTCGTACCTCCATGATCCATGCGGCTGCTCCCCATTTTTTGTGGCCGTTTGCGGTCCGGTACGCTGCGCATCAGCTCAACCTCTGGCCTCGTGTCTCCTTGCCCGAGACCTCGCCCACACTGCGTTGGACGGGGGAGGTTGGCGATGCATCGCGTTTCCGGGTCTGGGGCTGCCGTGCCTTTGTCC